CTAATAGTTCCAGTAGTCTTGAACACCTTGATTAGTGGGATCAGGTTCGTTCTTTTAAGGTTAGAGTAAAACTGTGCAGGGCTGCGGCCTCTCCAGGAATCCAGCTCGAGATCTATGCTCTAGACCAGGGTGTCCAAACTCGGTCATGCAGGGCCGGTGTCCTGCATAGTTTAGCTCTAACTTCCTTCAACACACCTGCCTGGAGCTTTCCAGGATACTTAGAAAGAGCTTGATTAGCTGGTTCAGGTGTGTTTGGGGTTAGAACTAAAATATGCAGGACACCGGCCCTCCAGGACCGAGTTTGGGCAGCCCTGCTCTAGACTGACTTTTATGCAAATAAACAGGTCATGCGAAAAAAATTTGCATTCATTTGCAATATAGCCTCTTACAGCCAGCAAAGATTTATTAATAATTAAAAGTATCAGGTATGTTATTGTACTTTAATAACTTTCATTTTAAAAATATTTTAGTTTTGCACCACTTATTGTTATAGCAAAGAAAGCTGACAGTCCAAAAGCAGATTAATAAAATCATGCAATGCAGTATTTTCTGAATAACCAGTGGATTTAATAGTGTTGTTTAGAATAAAAAAGGAGGAACAAATACAGTTAAAAAAAAGAGGAACAAATCAATTCAAAGACTTTTAAAAAAAGTCTTAAATAATTAAAAAAAACAAACGATTACATTTCTCCATCATCCTAATATTTGAAAGTGTTTAGTCACAGCCTACCTGCAACATGTGAGACCGTACTTCTAAGGATATAGCAAAAACAAAATTTGCCTCGAGTATATTGGCGCACTGAATCATGTTCAATGCTCAGACTTACACACAAATGTGAGATTGAGCAGTATGGTGTCGCTAATAATTCTGGAGATTGGCCTTTTGTTTTGAGTAAACAACAATTTCCATAAATTATTACAAACATATAAATATATTATCTTAAAGCTGCAATTCTACAAAATCCCAAAACAACCAAAAATTATTAAAAAAATTTGTTAATTAATGTTTGAATCCAAATGAGCAGCGTTGTCTGTGTGTAAGTAAATATCCTTGCTTGCATCGATTAAGTGCTGTTCAAGAGACTGAATTCATCCGACTCTGAAAAAAGATCCAGAAGACCCACAATAAAAAATTCAGGAGCAGCTCAACCGAGCGTGGAGAGAGGATTTCCCCTCTCATCTCACTGCAGCATGGCTGTCAGGCAGATGAAAGGAGCTCCGCTTACTCTGATTGGCTGGAAGCACTGTGACATCACAGGAATGGGGATCGTGTTTAATGCTGGGAGGGAGAAGCATTTGTTTTGGGTAGAACAGGGACTTGCTTAGCACATGAAAAATATAAACACGGAAAAACCTCTCCATTTACACACACACTCACACTCCAAAAACACCTCTAAACAGATTGCTGAGAAGGATTAGTGTGAAATTAGTCAACTAGCATAAGAAAATAATATCTCTATGGTGTAGAATGGAAATATTTAGTAGGCAGGAAGCACACTTCACTAAAACACACAACAAATGGTCCCTCTACAGAACGAGATTAAAATCTTTAAGGCATCTCAGACATGCTCCCTGAATACAAAGCAGTAGTGTGAGGCGATCTGCGCATTAATCCATACATTTGCCACACATCTACGAGACTGAGCTGACAGGAGTTCATTCATTCAAGAAGCAGAAAAACAGTGAGGAGGGATCAGGTGGGGAGGTCTGTAAGGTGAAGACTAGTGTATTAGAGTAATCACAAAGGAATGCTCTTATGCAAACACTCTGCTAACATTACTATAAATGAGGATAAGGCTTGCAGGCTGTACTTTGCTCTGGGCTCCACATGCTGCTGCACATATCACACAGAAGGGAAATCTGCATTTGCAAAACCAACCAAACCACTACTGCCACCACCACACCCATTACACCTAAATCGAACATCTCACCACTACACGATCCAAAATACGCCACTTCTACAAGCTTTATGCAAAATAGTACTTAATTCGATTTGACAACTGTCCTCATTGACATGCTGGATGTTGTACTTATGGAAATGTATTGACCTTGTTGAAGTATAGTCTTTACACCTTTGTTCAAGAAAATTGTGGTTTGACATTGCTGATTTCATTTTCATTCAACAAACTTGTCCGCTCTAAAACTATGAACATTTTTACACATATAAGAGGGTTTGTGTACAGTTTCATCGCGGTGCACACAATGCCTGATTCAGAAAAGAATCAAAGGACATAGAACTACAACACTAAATCACTAAAGACAAGTGTGCTAATGAGAACTTGTGTTTGAGAAGATTTAAAGATACCCTAATTTGGAGAGAACCGTTGCTCACCATGCTTGCACAACCTCTGGAGAACATTAAAAAAGGTTCTGGGCTCCTTTTTTCTGTAGTCAACATCTCAAATGTTTCAAAGATTTTTAGACAAGAGTAAGTGTTGTTTAACAGTTTTTGGACAACTTTGATAAAAGGTGATCCAAATTTAAATGTTGACTACTGTAGTGTATATTTGTGCATGCTAGCAAATGGAGTTTGGGCATCTTGGGCTTTGAAGAATGAGTCAAAAAGATAATTTGGTTTTTATCACATTCTTCCATTTAACCTTTGGAGCACAAATCAGGATATGTTTAAATTAGTTTTTACACAGTTTTGTCTATAATTTTGAAAACCATCAAAATATACAAAACTAATCCCATCACACTAGCTTGCCTTATGAACTAAAACAAAGATCATTGGTTCTGTGTGGGCAATGATCATTTGTTCAATTACAATACATCTTAATAATACTTCAGTTCAACTACTACATTCTTATGTGACTTATTAATAATATGTTTATTTCAGCTTGAAAGCTGGTTGAGTGGACATTTAATGTATAACAAAAATAAAGGCAGAATATTGAGCATATCGGTGAGCATATCGGTTCTATCGGTGGTCTAGATTGATTCATACCAAAAACACTTGCAGTCATCATTGTGATGATGGGAGTAGAAAAAATCCCTAGTTTATAAAAATGAAATAAACAAATGTAAGTCATCATGACTTACAATTGTTGAGTAACCCGAGCGTAAAGTGCAAGGTGTAGATTACTGACTGGCTGAGTGAATGGGAGACAGATAATGATTAATAGAGGCGATAACTATAGTACCGTGACTCTATGAAAAGAATTACAGTAATTCATACAGTTTTGGAGGTTTCTAAATGGGATTAGTCTCACAGTATAAAGTCATGCAAAAGAAAAATATCCTTTAAGATATGCAACAATACATAAATGCAGTAAAGTAATCTTTGATCTTCTAGATTATAGATGTTGCAACCTTGATTTGTTCTACTCTTCCACAAATCACATTATTTCATTTAGTATTTTACATTGGTAATAGCAATTTCCATAACACTAACTGTTACTACTGTAAAATAGTATAACCTACTAGTAACAGCTATAACTATGGCATTGTGACAGAAACCACACATTTATGTAGACTCGTGGTTAGATGTGCCAATTTTTGAATAATACAAAATATTGTGATAATGATCATGAAAATGCAGTCAACATTTTTTTTTTAAACTTAGAAAATGTATTTTAAAAATATTCAGATTGTTAGATTTGCAGCGGGGTTAATCACAAACCTAATGCTTAAACACTTATTAAAGTAGTTTACTCTAAAATTGTATATACAAAAATTAGGGATGCTTCAATTGATTGGCCAGATTGATATCGGCCGATAATCAAGTTTTATGACTTGATCGGTACTCGCTAATCTGGCCGATCACATAAACAGATCGAAAGTGTTCTTTTACAGATTTACAAGCAGAGGAAGATCCATTTAATTTTAAGATCAAACTTTAAGATCAAACTTCTTATGCATCAAGTATGCACTCTAAACTTTATCTCTATTGAGAGATATTGAATTCTTCTTTTATAATTTGAAATGTTCCCAAATTCTACTGTTAGTCATTTTCTTTATAAATTTTTCATCTGTCTTAGCTATTATTTTCTGTAAAGCTGCTTCTGACCATGACATGTCCACAATAAATAGTTACGAGATGTGTTAAGGGAATTTATGAAACATCCTTTGTTTTTTTCTTTTAGGAAAGGATAGATCTCTGCTATCAGGGAAACTTTGCTTTATGCAATGTTAAAGTTACATAAAGCTTGAAAATCAGAATCAGTACTCAGTATCAGCCAATCACAATGACGAGGAATCCGTACTCGGTATCTGCTCCAAAAATCCTAACCGGAGCATCCCTAACAAGAATCTAATAATACACACAAAAATGTTGAATTGGTTTTAGGCCATTAGCTTATGTCAAGAATGTCTTTTGTGATACAAATACAATATGATATGTCTAATCATGGGCGACTGTAAAGTGGTAATTAAAGACAAAGTTTTATCAATTGCTGACCTTATTGATATTCTAGACCTGTATGACTCTCTTCTGCAGAACATAAAATAAGATGTCTCACTGTTTAGTTTAGCTTTTGGTCCATACAGTGGAGGTCAAACTTCTTCAGAATATCTATTTTAGTGTACCACATAATACAGCTTTGAAACAACAAGGAGATGAGTGGACCATATAAATCTTCTTTTTCTGATGAGCATGCTGAATAACACTAAGCTGACCAAGTTTGAGAGAGTTTGAGATGTTAGGGGCCAGCAGAGAGACTCGGGAGAGCAGCTGACAAGCCAGCGCAGGTCATTTAAATGGAAGGATTGCAAAGATACTCCAGACATGCCAAATATGGTGAAGAAACGTCTCGTATGTCAAACCACTGGTAAACCTGCGAGAACCTGATAGTTATTTTAGTGAATGGATGGTCGCAGATCCATCGCCATGTGTTATAGCCTTGTTCCTCAGGTCAAGACATGTTTAACACGTACCGAATAACCCTCCGCCAAGTGTCAAGTGTGTAGGCCAGCTGCTGAGTCCGAGCAAACAAACAGGCCCTGCAACGGGCTTATCATCCAAACACCCACACAAATTTAAAGTTCGCTTCTGCACTCACCCCACTATGCCATCCGAGTAGTTTCTGCTCTTCCACGGGGTGCCCGCGTAGCCGTCCTCCGCCCCGTCCGTCAGCAGCAGACTCCGGTTAAAGCCGTAGGTGCTCGCCTTGTTGTCTCTTTTCCTCTTGCTTGGTAACTCGTTTCCCACTCCTGCGACCCCGCTGCCACCCACTTGCCCCCCTCCGCCGACAACCCTGCCCGGCCTGCTGCTGTTAATGTTGTTAAACGCTTCCAGAGGGATGAAGTCCTGTTGTTCGGAGACCTCGCTGTCGGGTTTGGACCCAGACATGCCCTGTTGGTCCTTGGGTCTACCGCTGCTGCTGTCGGCCGCGTTGCTCGACGCACCGTCGCCGTTGGTCGTCAGTTTGGCGCTGGCTGTGTTGCAGTTGTTGTTAAAGTAGAGGTTTCCCAGCGTCTGTGTCGTGTCCCAGATGTGCATCCACAGGTTGTTGGCCGGTCCGCGCTGTTCTGGCTGAAACCAGGCGATTCTCGGATCCATCAAACGCTGAGCTGATGCAGGCACACTTGCCCCCGGAGCAGAGCCAGGCTCGGTTCACTTCACGTTAACCCACTAACGGGAACACGCTCGCTCGCCCTAGACAGCGACTAAAATATCCTGTGCGGGTCCATCAACGCCTCTCGGGGACGGGAGAACACCACTGTAAACGGACTGTAAAAAGACGTTCTGCTTTTAAAAACGGTCACCGTCAAACTTAAGAGCACGAGGACTGAAGAAACGTGAGTGTCGTCTGTGTCACTGCCTCTGACCCGTTTCTATCTGAGATCGTGTGTCTCAATGGCGGATAGACCCCGACGCGACTGCGCATGCTCTGCCAGGCGCGAGCGAGCGTGAAACGGGGGCGCGCGGACTGTGAGTTACGCAAGAGCGCACGTTACAGCTTCTGTGTTACGTAACAACAACAGCGGGGTTGATACATTGTGGTAATATGAAGCTCTTGTCTGTGTCATGTTTCAGATGTACCCTGTAAAAGGTGGCACTAATCCAATGAGCCGTATATCTAGTGCATGGGGTCCCACTGTTATCTCCTAATTGGATTATTTTGTAATGCACTGACAGAAATTAGATTACGGGAACAGGAGTCCGCAAATAGAATATAAACAGCAGTATTATTACAATGGGACAGGTCCATCCGACTTGTGTTTCTTTGTGCCATTTAAAGCGACAGTGCAATATAAATAGATGTCTATGATACAGGCATAGGACGATAAACGTTTTGATCGGAATTTAAACTGCTTTCGCATGACAAGACCATATATATATATCTTAAAGCAGCGCAAATGTATGTGCATGCTATGATATGATCACGTATGTCTTATTGTGCAATAATCTGGGCTCAAGCTACTCAATCAGTTGTTAAGCCTGTAATGTCACTATACAAATTAACTTTAAAGGTAATGGATCAGAAACCAATAGTGGCATCACTGTCAAAATCTTTAAAAATATCACTTAAGTTTTGATGTTTTTTATAATTAAAGTTTTCATTTTTTAAAACTATGTTTAAGTGTATGCATGGTCTTGCCCCTAAAGTAGGCAGTGAGTTGATACATAAATTCAACAGTGATTAAAGACTAGGGGGTCAGTAAGTGGGAATTGTAGAATCCGCAGATGCAGAACCACTATGGGGGAGTCATCATTTTCAGTGAAAGGTTCACATCTATGAAATGCCATGCCTGTTGATTTAAAACTACAATCAAAACTCCCAGTTTTTTTTTCTGTAAAGCCAAGTATGGTTGAAATCTTTACAGCAATGTGAGCATTAAGTATTCTTTCAGGTTGGTCGGGTTTACATTCCTCTTTAGTATGCAGATTGACTTACATTTTATGTTCGCTGTATTAAGTTTTTTCTAGTTTATTATTATTTTTTTAATTTTAATGTAAAGCCTAACCAGGGATGAGGGCTGGAAATTAGATGTACTTGACATCAGCCGTTTTATTTAGTTTTTTTAGGGCAATAGTATCTTAAACTGAAAAGGACCCTCCACATCAAAAACTACTGTTCCAAAATATTTTAAATGTTTATTAAATAAAATGTGTTCGATGGAGAAACAATTTTTTGTTTTCCCCAGACAAGGTTATCATACTGTTAGAATCTTATATCAGCCCATGCCTACATGATAATTTATAATAATTCTTATTGCGGATATCTACTTGATGGTAAAAAGGCAAAAGATGATTCTCAATCCTTTTAAATGTGATGTAAATGATGAAAAATGTAACAGTAAAAACATATTTCATAATCATTTAATATTCTTGTTTTAATTACAAGGTCACTTTTGACAACTTGTATCAATCATATTTTCTATAACTTTATATTGATTAGATTTGATAAATATTTTACTTATTTTGTGTTTACTCATTTCAAAATGTTTAATGTTTTTATTAAATTCAACGTTATATTTCTCACATTTTTTTCAATGCTTGTCCTCATGTTGACTCACCCAGCCCATTTATAAATGTAGATTTAAAATAGAAAGCTTGAAAATCCTTGAGCAATATTTAATAATTTCTTTTTGCTACAATTAGATATGCAAAGCTAATGGATCATGACTGTTTATGAGGTATATTAAGATAAGTAAAACATAAGATAACCTAACATATATACTACAACATTTCTACATAGACAGGTTTATGAGGGATCGAATACAACTAATAAACATCTGATAATCCACTGTTGCTCTGCTGTGGGCCATAAAGTGCAACATAAAAGCGTTTTGCTGTTCTCACATTATGATGGACTGGGTCAGAGGGGAAACTGAGCAACATAACAGTGTTCATAAAGTAATCTCCAGGCGCTGGTCTATCATCATTTCTCAGATACTCCTCTTTCAGGACAAAACAAGCTTTACCAAAGGTAGAATAACCTGGGCTTTAAAGAGAACTCTCTTATGGGACAGGGTGGCATTGTTTTGTTTGCTTTTTAACATACATGCTGAAATTTAGCTAAAAGACCTCTTAAAGGTAAAGTTCCCGCAGAAATTAAGATGTATTCCCCCCTATGTGGTTAATATGGAGTTTTTATTTTTTGGTTGAATACAAAAGAAGATAACTTGAAGAATGTAGGAAACCAGTAGTCACTGACATCCATAGTAGTAGGAATAAAATATCCTAATGAAAGTGAACGGCTGCCAGTTTGCAACATTTTTCAAAATATATTTTGTGTTAAACAAAAAAAGAAACCCGGAAACAAATGGAGGCTGAGTAAATGATGAAAAATTCAAAAGTTCACACTCAGATATTGCTTGATATTATAAGCAGGTTTTGCATGCTGTCCCAGGCCAGGAGAGAACTCTGAGCTCAGGGCTCATGTAAGGAGGTACAAGATCAGGTAGTTCTCAAGAGCTCCCCCTGGTAAAGGAGGAAAGGGGGTGGGGTGGGGGGATTCTTCAAAAAACAAAGGCGAGGGAGTAATGCTAGACGAGCTATTTACAGTGAGTTTGGAATAATCCAAGTAGTTTACAAATGATTACAGATGAGAGACCTGCCGCGATCAATCATATCACATGCTCCTCTCGAAATTAGTTTGTGAAACTTCATTTCATTTTTTGGGACAAACTGTGCTTTTAATTCTTAAAAGCACCACAAGAGGCCATACTGATAGTTAATGCTTTAATTAAAGCACTCATATGTTTGGTTTTACAAACATTATTTTATGTCTTCATTTCCTCACATAAACACTCTCACATAAAAATAAAACCAAAAAGGATTATAAACAGGAAATGCTAAATAAGAGTTGCTCTGCTGATCACTTAAATCTCATTTTCTTTGCAGGTTCTCCAAGTAGCCGATAAATCTCTTCAGGTTGATCCTTATGTTGTCCAGAACGCAAAGCTGATCAGGGCTGTATTTTCCTTTGCCTTCTTTTCGCAGCTGTGAGGAAACAAACGGTTAAACTGTGAAAAGCCTGCCATCTAAAGGCCGAAGAACATACAGAGATCCAGCAATGGCCATGCTGTGAATGGATAAAAGCAGCTGAAAAAGTACTTTAGAGTTATAAAGTAAAAGATCAGCCAACCAAAACAGATCTGTTGAGCTGGTTTTCAGAGCTTCTTTCTGTCAGGCAGAGATGTGCTTATGCAACAGAACTCAAGCTTGAACCTTGAGCTCAAGCCTGAACATGTATTGGGAGGTTTTTCTGATTTAATATTACAGCTTGGGCGTGTGAATGTGATGGATGAGTGCGCTTGTATATTCCTGGTAATATCTCTTGTTGGCTTTAAACAAACCTTGGCTCTAAACCCTGGTTGAAGGGCTTTGAGAGAAGAAAGCAGGTCAATATTTTTTGCAGCTTTCTCTGCTTCATCGCCATCGGCAAACACGTCGAAGAGAGCATCAAGAGCTTCCCCACACACTACCAGGTTTGCGTCCTTTGTTGCTACATTTAGTAATGCATTTCCAATCAGCTGCAAAAAGAAATAGGGACAATTGTACATGCAATGTGATGACAAATACACTCCAACAACACTGTTCACTGATTAACTTCAGAACGCACAGGCATATTTTATCATACATTTTTCATTTGTACATCAAAATATTTAATATACATCAAAGTGCTGTATAATGGCATAAATGAAGCCATTTGTAATAGTGAATACATTCTACTGAACATATTTAATAAAAACAATGCATTAAATTAGATAAGGTATGCAATATTTTTGTCCATGATAATATTCTGATGTTGTTTTAAGGTTGGGAGCTGACATTCTCTCAAAAAATGACATTTGCTGTTTGTTCAAGCTTTTAAAAAATGAGCTGAATGAGATTTTTGGAGTGACAACTTAATAGTTTTATGTTCAGTTCAATTAAATTTGTTAATACTAATTAACTTTATTCCTTCATGTTGTCCCAACACAAATCACATTAACAGTGTTAAGCTTACTTTAATGCAACAAATATAAAAATTAAAACAAATCTTAAATATCTAAAAGCATAGCCTACGTTAAAATGCATTTAGAATGACCCAACTTTTCAAGTTATCCAAGCAAAATACACTCACTGGCCACTTAATCAGGTACACCTGTCCAACTGCTCATTAATGCAATTTTCTAATCTGCCAATTACATGGCAACTCAGTGCATTTAGGCATGAAGACATGGTCAAGACGATCTTCTGCACTTCAAACCAAATCACCATTAACTCAAATAACCATTTGTTACAACTAAGGTATGCAGAAAAGCATCTCTGAACGCACAACGCACCGAACCTTGAGGCGGATGGGCTACAGCAGCAGAAGACCATACCAGGTGCCGCTCCTGTCAGCTAAGAACAGCAAACTGAGGCTACAACTCACACAGGCTCACCAAAATTGGACAAAAGAAGATTGGAAAAACGCTGCTTGGTTTGATGAGTCTTGATTTCTGCTGCGACATTCGGATGGTAGGGTCAGAATTTGGAGTCAACAACATGAAAGCATGGATCCATCCTGCCTTATGTCAAGGGTTACAGACTGGTGGTGGTGATGTAATGCTGTGGGGGATTTTTTCTTGGCAAACTCTATGCCCATTAGTACCAATTGAGCATCGTGTCAACGTCACAGCCTACCTGAGTATTGTTGCTGACCATGTCCATCTCCTTATGACCACAGTGTACCCATCTTCTGTTCGCTACTTCTAGCAGGATGACGTGCCATGTCAAAGTGTGAATCATCTCAGACTGGTTTCTTGAACATGACAATAAGTTCACTGTACTCAAATGGCCTCCACATTAACCAGATCTAAATCTAATAGAGCACCTTTGGCATGTGGTGAAACTGGAGATTCGCATCATGGATATGCAGCCAACAAATCTGCAGCAACTGTGTGATGCTATCATATCAATAAGGACCTAAATCACTAAGGATTATTCCCAGTACCTTGTTGAATCTATTCCACGAAGGATTAAGACAATTCTAAAGGCAAAAGAGGGTCCAATCTAGTATTAGTAGTAGTAGAATAGATTAGTGTATATCTCTGTAAGGGTTTTTTTGTTTTTACATTTATAGAATATGCCATAGTTGAAAAGATGGTTCATCCACCCAAAAATGAAAATTCTATCTTTTAATCATCCTCCACTTGTTTCAAACAGGTTTGATATTATTTATTCTGTATAAAATAATGCAAGATATTCTTAAGAATGTTGGTGAAAAACACACTGACATCCATAGTATTTTCTGATCCTACTATAGATGTCAATGTTTTTTTTTTGTTGGCATTATTCAAAATATCTTGATTTCTGTTCAACAGAATAAATAAATTCAAAAAAGTCATAAAAGAACCATTTAACTGTGAAAAATGGTGAGGAAGTGTTTTGTTTTTGGGTTAACTATCCCTTTAAGTATACCATACAAGTAAGTGCATTTTCCCCAATATCAACATATCAACTTAATAGATCAACTAATAATTACATCATATTTTTTGACAATGCAGTTTCAAAAAGAGTTTCAAAACAGGCAAAGCATTTTGTGTGTGTGTGTGTGTTTGTCAGAGTAGTAAAGCAGCTTTCAGTAAAATTCTAACAATCAGTATTTACCTGCAGAGTGTCTGCTGTGTTTTTGTCTTTGGCAAGTGAGCTTCCTGTGATTCCAAGAATGGCCAGAGCGTTAACCTTCACACTGACCAGATCGCAGCTGGTGGCAGCCTCACAAAAACCCATTAGCTGGTGTGGAGTCATACACTGCAGAATTCATAAAAAAATGCAGTGTTTTAAAAAACAGACACTTAAAATATTTTCACTAAAGTATGAATTAATGAAGATTGTGGTTTTCACCTGAGAGATGTTTTTGGTAGCCATGATCTGTAGCAGAGATCGGAGAGCACTGGTCACAGCCTCCAGGAACTCCTCATCCTTTAAAACCTCTAGAAATTAATTTATAATAACAGAAAGTAAGCAACTGCACTGCTTAAAGTGAATAAAAACTAATCGGAGATGTCTACCTGCCGAGCTGAAGACCAGTGAGGAGAGGTGCTGAGCCACAGCCTGCAGACTTGAAGCGCCACCAAGAGAATCTGTGTCCATAGAGGAGAGGATATTATGGAGACATGTCAGTGCCCGACACTGCACCCGCTGCATCCTAGTAAAAAACCAAAGCACAACAATGTCAAATTTTAATTTTAATATACAGTACAAACCAAAAGCTTGGACACACCTCATTCAAAGAGTTATTTAATTTAAAGACTATGAAAATTGTAGATTCACACTGAAGGCATCAAAACTATGAATTAACACATGTGGAATTATATACATAACAAAAAAAAAGTGTTAATCTACTTTAAGTCTGTCATATTCTAGGTTCTTCAAAGTAGCCTCCTTTTACTTTGATTACTGCTTTGCACACTTTTGGCATTCTCTTGATGAGCTTCAAGAGGTAGTCACCTGAAATGGTTTTTACTTCACAGGTGTGCCCTGTCAGGTTCAATAAGGGGGATTTCTTGCCTTAGAAATGGGGTTGGGACCATGGCTGCGTCTGAAACCGCATACTTCCATACTATATAGTACACTAAAATGACTTACTACTTCCGGCGAGATTCTGAAGTGCGCATCCCATGCACGCTGCGCTATCCCATAATGCCCCGTGAGAGAATTCATGAATGGAAGTGAGGCGACGCAACTGACGCAGGTAGGTCACGTGACTATGACAAAATGGCGGATGTAGTACGTCCGAATTCCATTCATACTTTTCAAATTCATACTGTAAAGAACGTACTTTTCTAACGGCCGAGTAGTACGTTTAAATTCAAATGCAGTACCTACTGAGTAGTAGGCGGTTTCGGACGCAGCCCATCAGTTGTGTTGTGCAGAAGTCAGCTGATAGTACAAACACAGCTGATAGTCCTACTGAATTTGTGTTATGGCAAGACAAAAAAGCAGCTAAGTAAATAAAAAGGAGTGGCCATTATTACTTAAAGAAATGAAGGTCAGTCAGTCCGAAAAATTGGGAAAGCTTTGAAAGTGTCCCCAAGTGCAGTCACAAAAACCATCAAGTGCTACAAAGAAACGGGCTCACATGCAGACCACCCCAGGAAAGGAAGAACAAGGCTGTTTCTCAATATGCGTACCGCAAGAACGGAAGATGTGTGAAACTTGCCGGATGTGATCTTGATATCGAGGATGCACTGATGCAGACTTGAGCACCAAACTCGCTCTGGAATTCCCAGACGTCATTGCGACTGGATGTGGGAAGTGCAGCATTTTTTATAGGTTTATTATTAAAGTTAAGAGATATCATTTATTTACCTCAGGAGTTTCCCTAAAGCAGGGGTGTCAAAGTCAATTCCTTGAGGGCCATAGCCCTGCAGATTTTAGTTCCAGCCCTGCTTCAACACACCTATCTGTAGGTATCAAACAAGCTTAAAGCCCTCAAATAGTTGGATCAGGTGTGTTTAATTAGGGTTAGAACTAAACTCTGCAGGGCTACGGCCCTCCAGGAACTGGCTTTGACACATGTGCCCTGAAGGAAATGGTGAAAGTAAACATTACCATGGATATCTTAATAAAGAAATAAACACATTAAGGGTGTTTGTTAGCTGAAATTCGTATTAAAATCTGTTTTATTTATATTTTGCAGAGTATATTTGTAATGTTTTAATGCCAAGTACATATTTTGAAGAGGGGAACAACAATATATCATTGTATGAATGCTGCATTGTTTAAATAATTTACCATTTAAAACGCGCGAAGGATGTGTGACCATCAGAAAGACCGCAGCATCTCATTTCTCAAAGGACGCGTTTTCTGCCCACGCGGTCTCCTGAGTGTGTTCCGAGGACACCTGGCAAGACCGGTCTGTGCAAGAACGCAAGTCAGTTCTCTGCGTTCTTGGAATTGAGAAATAGCCCAGAAGTCACCTCTGCTGCAGAGGATAAGTTCATCCGAGTCACCAGCCTCAGAAATCGCAGGTTAACAGCAGCTCAGATTAGAGACCAGGTCAATGCCACACAGAGTACCAGCAGCAAACACATCTCTAGAACAACTGTTAAGAGGAGACTGTGTGAATCAGGCCCAGATGGTAGAATATCTGCTAGGACACCACTGCTAAGAACACGCAACAAGCAGAAGAGACATGTTTGGGCTAAAGAACACAAGGAATGGACATTAGACCCGTGGAAATCTGTGCTTGGCTCTGATGAGTCCAAATTTGAGATCTATTTCCATCAGGTTTGCATTTAGCTGCACCATAATTTATTTTTCAACAGGAACATGAATCCAACCACACCTCCAGGCTGTGTAAGGGCAATTTGACCAAGGAGAGTGATGGGATGCTGCGCCAGATGACCTGAACCCAATCAAGATGGTTTGGGGTGAGTTGGACTGCAGAGTGAAGGCAAAACGGCCAACAAGTGCTAAGAATCTCTGGGAACTCCTTCAAGACTATTGGAAGACCATTTCAGGTGAAGAAAATGCCAAGAGTGTGCAAAGCAGTAATCAAAGCAAAAGGTGGCTACTTTGAAGAACCTAGAATATGACATACTTTCAGTTGTTTCACACTTTTTTGTTATGTATATAATTTCACATGTGTTAATTCATAACTTTGATGCCTTCAGTGTGAATCTACAATTTTCATAGTCAAGAAATAAAGAAAACTCTTTGAATGAGAAGGTGTGTCTAAAGTCTACAAACTATTTTAAAAAATAAGTGTACATTACTTTTTCAAGAGGCATTTCCAAGAAGAATCTTTGCTACAGAGCTCAAGTGCAGCAGCACTAGGGAACTCAGCCTTCTTCAACACCTGAAATAAAATCATTTAGTGAAGTAAATGCACTTATCTTTGACACAAGAACAGCAACTTAAATGTATTATACAGGCGGCTTTTTGTGTTTTTGACAACTCTTTGTGTATTTCAAGGGGTTGTAGAATAAAATTACGGATTCCCCACCCAAGGTCGACTTACAGGGTTTCTGCAGGTTTATAAAGGCAAAGTTAAGGGACAAGTGAAGGAAAGTGAACACATAATTTGAAGAGAACACAAAAGGTTGATGCATTCTCTCAATGTGAATTTGTAGGTGAAACAATGTTTTAGCAACACTTCAATGTTTTGTACGGGTTCTCATTATTTTTTATTCACTGGATAAAAATAAATAAAGGTTTAAATAACTCTGTTCCCAAATACAGAATATGGAAATAACTCTTACTGTACCCTCTGGTTACATTGTAAAAATAATGAGATAATTTATTATCAATTTTGTTTTGTTTCTGAGATCAAATGTCTAAAGATCTTTAAATGTTACTTTTATTGCTATTAACAATGTACCTGTTGAGGCATGCTGTGGTTGAGCAGGACTGTGTGAAGTTCAGCAGACAGACAGAGAGGAGAGAACAAGCTGGAATTAGTGTCTGACATCCCATCAGCACACATTTCGCTCTCATCGCTGCTGGACATCTCCTCCCATTCATCATCAGAGGGCTCTGTACACACAAAAATACAGACACATAGACAGAGAGAGAGAGAGAGAGAGAGAGAGAGAGAGAGAGAGAGAGAGAGAGAGAGAGAAAGAGAGAAAGAGCCAATATCCTGTCACATTATCCTCTGCCTCATCTTTGCCGACACATACAATGAAATCATTCCTCCAATTTTAGCACATTTACTGGCTACAATATTCATGTCTTGCCTCAAGCACCAGCTCACATATGAACACACACACACACACTCACCATCAGAGCAGCACATGTTGACGATGATCTCCAGAGACGTTTGCTGTGCTGACAGCAGTGCTTTAGCCTCTCGCAACTCCAGTCGGTCTCGCTAGAAACCCACAGGCACACAAACAAAAAGTATTTGTTGAGGGTCACCAGTAATAAACACATATAGTGATGGTTGAATTTTTTAAACATTTAAAGGGATAGTTTATGCAAATATATAGATGTCCTCAACATATACTGGTTCCAGACAAATTTCCAGTAAATTTCTTTCTTCTGCTGAAAAAAAAAAATCAAGCCATAGACTTTCATAATAGGAACAATAGGCTGCTTTTCCAGCATCCTTCAGTATGTCCTTCTTTGTGTTCAACCGAAGACAGAAGTTCAAACAGGTTTGGAACAAATGGAGGATAACTAAATGAAGACAATTATTATTAATTTTTTTTTTGGGTTAACTCTCCTTTTAAATGAGTGATTCAGCAATGTGAATAGGTCACGGCCCAGTACTGACTCATGAAAGAGATGCTACTGTATATGCAGTCCCACTATTGTGAGTTCCACCTTTAAGGACCAGTATCCATATTTGAGCACATCACGCACCAGGCGCAAAGTGCTATTGCACATTTGTTTGTATTCAAACATGGTTTTCTATGGGGACACTGGTCTGTGCTATAAATAAGATTAGAGACCTCTTCTTTAAGGCATTGATATAACTCGAGCAAAATTAAAGAACAAATTGACAATGTTTGAACAATTTGCTCCAATTGGTAAACACCTTCAAACTATCGTTGTTTTGTGGCGACTGCATAATCGATACAGTAGTTTTGGCTCTGAGGCATCACCTTCATTAATGTACTAAAACTTCAGGTTCACTTATTTTGTTCAGTTCATCAAGGTCTGACATCCATAAATAAAAGGATGAACACATGGGGGAGATCTGTTATAGTAGAAATTAAAGCTCTACTTTTAATTGAAAGTGATGCCAGCACTCTTGGCTCTGCAAACATGGTCTGCTTTGGTTCCAGACACAAAATAGGTCACAAATATGAGGAGCTGGATCAAATCTCACCTTGAACTTTTAATAAGGACAACATCAAGAACACCCAATGGGCAAATCAACAGCAAAAGCAGCTCAGAGAGGTTACAGCAGCCCTACACACTCATATACACAAGTGGAGACAGTCACACTGTGTTTAGAGATTGAGGACCATCTGGCTCTGAGGGACAGATGTGCCGTCACTGGAGTTTACATGGGGTGAGGGAGGAGGAGTGCAGTAGGGAAAGCCTTTCCTCACACTGGTCAAATCTGAGTCATGTGACACATTACGCCAATAGTCTGTCTGTTGAGGAATACAGTCGAGACTTACTTTAATATGCATCTGTGACCTCCATATGCACTCTAATCCAGTTATTGTAGGGGGGCTTCGGGATGACATAAATGCAGAGATGCTCCAGTCTAATGCTAAGTATTGGTGTAAGCCCTGAGACTGCCATTCTTTGACCAAATCTGATATTGTGTGTAATATGTTCTGTGTTACTGCTAAACCCCACACAATGATTAAACATAAAAAGCACTGCAAATTACAATTATTATAAATGGTATATTAGAAATATTTCACTACATTAAAGTCTTCTGAGATCACACATCAGATGTGAGGTACAGATAAATATTTAAGATGAAGACACACAAATCCAGCAGTCTCATTCCACTGATGCACAAATTATGAGGTTTTCAAAATGAATGATCATGTTAATAAATTATAACGTTATTTTTCTGTGGACTGGCAGAAATATTTCAGAATTTTATAAATATGCAGAATAAAAGATAAGACATGGCAGATTATAACTCACAGGCAACAGATCGGAGATGTCGTTTTTGGTTCTTGACATTTGTACATTAGGCTTTCCTCCATTCCTCTTCTGATCATTCAATTCCTCCTCCATCTCTTCGACCTGAAGCCCTGCAGGCCGCTGGTCTGTGTGATGTGTCTCTGTGACAGATGTGGTGTCTTTAGACAGACGGGCAGATTCAGCTCGCCACAGTTGTGGGATCAGCTCTCCTGCGTCCAGACTGAGGCTGTGTGACAGTGTGCTGGCCAGTGCGGTCAGTGTGTGAGACTGCTGAGCTGAGGACAGACCGTTTTTCAGATTCCATAAAGATCCTGAAGGATGGAGGAAAGACAGACAACTGTTAATCAATCAAAACATCTATCAAATTCATGCTTCCACTTAGGGGTGGGGCGTATGACCAACATGCTACTTCACAGTATGAATAATTGTACCTCATAGTAATGATATACTTCATAATAAAGTTATTATTTTAATAGGTAGTTATTCCAGAAAACCAACAAAATAGAGATGAAATGAACTAAAATACTTCATAAATGAAAAGTACTTCACCTTTTTTTTTCCCTTTTTTTGGACCTTGTTAAATATAAAAATGGTGCACATTATTGGGTTTTTGTCCTTTTGTCTGAGCTGATGCAAATATCTATTCTGTTTGTGTGTTTTAGGAAAGAGTTAATTTAGAGGTTAATTTACAAAGATTTGAGATGTGTAGTCCCCATAAGTTTTAGCTTCCTAAAATAAATCAAAATCAGACTTGTGATTTCATGATCCCCAATTGATGCTTTTTTCCTAGCTAGAACTAAATTCTTTATCATTAATTTAATAACAATAGTCTCTGAATAATTGTATCATGGACCAGGCACTAGGACACAGCAGAGGGCTGATTAAGAGCAATTTACTAATGATACAGAAACAATAGAGCAGATACAAAATTAAGCACTATATGATTGGTGTCACAAGTCATCCATTTTTAAATATACTCTGACCAATATATTAAACAAGACTAAGAATGTTATCACATACATGTTGTTTGTGTATCTTCCTGGTCCACTTTGAAACTACTAAAGCCATATAGTTATGTTACTTTTTACCTTCATATTGAGGTGCTATACCTGTGGTTATGATCAACAAATTGAAAGCATATGAGGGTGTTACTATTTTGATGGAACTATTTCTGGGTAATGAATCTTAATTTACATCTGTAACATACTGGAAAAGTAGATTAGAGTGGCAAGAAACAATTCTGAGAAAATAAGGAGTCAGGCCCCGTTTACACTAGTGCGTTTTAGTTTGAAAACGCATAAGTTTTGCTACGGTTACGCCATCCATCCACACTACGCCGGAGTTCTCGAGCGCCGAAAACGGAGCTTTTTGAAAACGCTGGAAAGGCCGTTTTCATTCTAAAACGCTGCTGCTCCATCTCAGTTTGGATGGGGAAAGACGGAGACAACTGAAAACGGAGGCGGGGCTGCAAACGTTCGCCTATCTGATTGGGGCTTTTCCTCAATATTAAGTAGCCCACACACAGTTCAGTCTCGCATCCTCTTCTTGTAAGTTAAGACTTCGCAAGTTTGATCAAGGCTGCAGTCTCCCCCTTCTCAGTTTGATATGGAAAACATACAGAGGACACGGGTAAATCTTCAAAGGGAACAGTGTACTTTATAACTTCATTCACATCACCTTGGCTACGTTGTTTCACTTTCTCAAAAATAAAATGTAAACATGATTTAAGGAACTGCCTATTTTCTTTTTAATATTAGCAACTTCACAGACAGCAGAAATGTTGAGGCGTCGTGCTGCATGAGCGTCATCTTCACTGTGTGGATATTTATAACAAAACGGAGCCTATAACAACTGCCTCCTTTCAATTTCAGTGAAAATACGAAACGCACCCTCTCTTTTGCTGAATATCAGTTTTAATAATCGATAATTATAAAAGTATATAAACATACAATAAGTTAATACATTGTGGGAAATAAAGGCAAGCGATCAGTCAATGTACCTGGATTAATCATTAACTTATCTTTGCGCTTAACCAAAACATGTTACCCGTGAACAAGTAACTTAATAGATTCCAATGACCAAAGTCAGGGAATTGGCCTATGTCGTTAGATAAAGACAACAACATGAATGAAATATCACGTTTAGCAAATATAGTGAGATTAGATCCAGCGGGAGATGCTTGATGAGCAGTCCGACAAGCAGAGCTCTCATCTGGGTAGAAATGCTGGAGCGCTTGCTCGAGAGTGTGTGTGTGGTCACGTGATGTGCGTTTTCAGCGTCTTGGTGTGGACGGAGAGCTGTTCAGAAACGCTGAGTAAAACGAGAGTGTGGACGCGGATCGTTTTCATTCTACAACGCCGTTTTAAAACTAAAACGCACTAGTGTAAACGGGGCCTCAGTTCTCTGCCAGCATCCTTGTGGAAAAGTTTGTAAAATATCACAAACTACAAGACATCATCCCACCCAACAAACGACTTGCAAATGACCTGAATGAGTTTTACTGCAGGTTTGAGAAAGCACCCCACACCCACTCTGAACTGCTCTTTACACCACCATTAACACCTCCACCACCCCTCATCTCTCCCATACCTGCTCTTTAGTTCAGTGAAGATGATGTGTGCAAGGTCTTCCGGAAACAAAAGAGAAAAAATTGTATAACGCCACCCTGTCTAAAATCCTGCGCTGAACAACTGGCCCCCATCTTCACCCTGATCTTAAACAGATCATTGGAGCTGTGTGAAGTGCCCTCCTGCTTCAAACGCTCGACCATCATCAGGACATCACTGAATCCTCACTGGACTTTCTTCAGTTTACCAACAGAGCAAACAGATCTGTGGATGATGCAGTCAATATCGGACTGCATTATGTTCTGCAACACCTAGACAGACCAGGGACAGATGTGAGGATCTTGTTTGTTGACTTCCGCTTGGCTTTCAACTCTATTATCCCAAAATTTCTCCTGCCCAAATTAACTCAGCTCTCCATGCCCACCTCTGTCTGTCAGTTGATCAACAGCATCCTAAAGGACAGGCAGCAACTGGTGAAGCTGGGAAAATTTTCACCCAGTGCCCACACAATCAGCACAGGTGCCCCCCAGGGGTGTGTCCTCTCCTTACTGCTCTTCTCCCAGTACACGAATAACTGCACTTCAAAGGATTCCTCTGTTAAGTTCGTAAAGTTCGCAGACAACCACATTTATCAGCCTCATTCAGGAAGGTGACAAGTCTGCTTAAAGACAGGAGGTTAAGGAACTGGCTGCCTGGTACAGTCACAACGACCTGGAGCTCAACACGCTCAAAACAGTGGAGATAATAGTGGACTTCAGGAGAAACCCCCCTGGTCTTCCCTTATTGAGCATCATGGACAGCATTGTGGCAGCATTGGTTATTCAGGTCCATGAGCACTACCATATCTCAGGACCTGAAATGGGACACTCACATTGACTCCATTGTCAAAAAAGCTCAACAAAGGCTGTACTTCCTTCGTCAGCTAAGGAAGTTCAACCTCCCAAATGACCTGCTGAAAGTTCTACACCTCCATAATTGAATCAGTCCTCTACACGTCAATAACTGTCAGGTTTAGCTCAGCTACCAAATCTGACCTTCGTAGACTACGTCGAAAAGTTCGGATTGCTGAGCGAATCACAGGTACAACCTTCCCTACTCCCCAAGAACTATACTTATCCAGAGCAAGCAGAATGGCTGCCAAAATCACTCTGGACCTCTCACACCCAGCACACTGCCTCGTTGAACTGTTCCCTTCGGGTCAATGCTACAGAGCACAGCGCACCAGAACAGCTCGACACAGAAACAGTTTCTTCCCTCAGGCAATCCATCTCATGAACACTTGATGATAATAATTATGAAACAAACATCACGACTTGCTTTACACTTTTTACACACATATACACTTATTTAATAACATACTTTACATGCCAGTTTGCACATAACAGCTGCACATATAACATTATATATAGTAACACACCTGTACATACTCGTATCAATTTGTTTATTTGCATTTACTACTTCTATTTTTAAAATATACTCATTATCTGTTTTTTGACCTCTCTTTTATTCTGTTGACTGTAGAAGCTCTGTCACGAGAACAAATTTCTCGTAACTTAAGATTCAGTTACTCTCAACAAAACTTAATATTATTAATGATACATATGCAGCACTACCAGGTCAGGTGCTGTTGCCACAATCTGTAAAATTTAATGACACCAATGCTCTTAAATGTTAGGATCGAGTCCACACTTAAGGTCTGACGCAGTAGGCCTGTACATATATTTAATGGACCACGTGCCATGTGTTGTTTTACCTGCAGCCAGTGTGCGCAGGAGAATGTTCTCCATACTGGTGTGTGTGGAAGACAGAATGTTGTCCAAGACCCCAAACACAGCTGCATTCCCACTGCGTATCAGCTCTGAGTTCTCCTCTGTTACTGTGTGCAAACAGTGGGCTAGAGAGAAGAAAGCACACACTCAAACAAACCACAGCAATAATGATAGTAAGAGAATGACTGAAAATCAGCATTGAAACATTTCTGTATCTGTGGCTGGAAATGAGTCTCTTATGCAGACCAATGTTTCACACATTTGATCAAAATACTATACAATAAGGTTTTTTTTAACACTTTAAATGACATTTTACATAGCAAGTAAAGACAATGTAGTTATTAGTTTGAAGGGCACAGGTAATATCAATATGTTATGTCTACATAAATTCATAGTGAGCATATAAAAAACAGCAAGTTTTGTTCAAAGAAGCAATCTTGATTAAAACAAACATCAGTCAAAGTGCTCAGACAAAAAATCCAAACAAAACATTTTCATACTCCACTCAGACATCTGCAAACATAACTGAATATATCTTAAAATGTATACATGTTATTTATACATATTTTTATTTCTGAGATGGCGAAACAGAATTATTTCAGCAGTCATTATTGCAGTTTTCACAATCACATGATCTTGTTGCTGATTTGGTGCTTTTGAATTCTAATTTATCAGAGCTAAAAACAATGTTAAAAAGTTGTGCTCCTGGACCTTTAAAGTTTGAATAGATGACCATAATAGTGTGTGTCACCTGCTGATATTGCCAGCTCCATATTCTGAGGGTGCTTTTGTAGACATTGTAGAAGAACATCCACAAGTCCAGCCTTGTTAAACACGGACACTGCTGTGCTGCTGCTCTCACTACACAACCAAACAAACAAAAAAAGACAGAAACACAGATAACATGAATTGGTACTTTTTAAATGTGGCAATTGATCAAACTAACTATAAGTGTCATTTTCACCTTGCAAAATACAGCCAATAAATAAAGCATGATGATATGCTGTCATATCACAGGTGGTGACAAAATACACATACATGAAAAAAAAAATGTTAAAGCTAATATTAACTAATTTTGTTAATATACATGTGAGGTGTAAACATCAATCAGTGTTGACCACCTATTTGTGACTTGGTCCTTGCTTTCAGTTTAAGTTCATTCTTACCAGAGGTTCCAAAGTAAATTGACTGCTTCATTGGCGACATCTTCCACTGAGGTTTTCTGTCCTTTCTTAGAAGGAGAGTTCACGCCAAAGCCTGCACAGCACTGTTCTCCACAAAAACACACAACACAGACACACACTTATTAAATAGAGCTTTTTACAATATAGCTACACATTAATGAAATGGCAAAAATATCATATCAAGATTATGATCTAAAATCCTATTACAATTCTTTCATTCTGTTTCACATGTTACTAAGCAGTTCAGCCATCCTACCTGCCCTATGACCCCGGATGTGCCTGTGCTTTGTTTCAAACGGAGGAAGTTGTGCACCGGTAACAGAGAAACACATCAGCGCACAGTGCTTGTGAATGCACACCCTATACTGACACTGAGGAGAAGAAACTGTTGAATAAACTTGTTATTTTTGTTGTAAACTAAACTATTCTTGTAGCTTTGTAATATGATATTTTTTTTTGTTTCTACACTTAATTCAGTAACTTTGCTATTTATGGAGGAGGATGGAGCTCTCAGATATTACCTAAAATATCTTCATTTTTGTTCTGATCATGAATGAGAATCTCAGGGGTTTGGAACAGCATGAGGGTGAGTAAACAAGATTTTTATTTTTGGGTGAACTATACGACTTCATGTTGATTTTATGTTGTCATGCAAGTAACAGTTTGAACTGAGTTGTTTCAGCATTCATACCTCCCTCAGGAGAGCAGACAGAGGCGTCAGCACATCCTGTCTCACCATGTCCTCACATACTTCAGGACCTCCACTGGCACTGAGATTCCTGTAAATAAATAAGTGTAGTTTTACTAAATTAACCTAGCAATAATGTTATACAATAAGCTGATTGTAGGACTAACTACTGCAGGAGAAATTCTTAAATTCTTAAAGTCTTACATATTTCATTGCAGGTTGTTGTTAGAGGTTTTAAGGTGAAAAACAGAAAGAAAACCATTTTATGAGAATAAAATACCCTGGTTATTTCTTTTAATTCATGTCTCAGAAATTCTTTTTTGTAATTTCACCACAGTAAAAACAAATTTTACTGAGATTAAAACTATCATTGCTTTTTCCTGTAAGCATGTCAAAGCTGCTGATGCTAAATTAAATCTGTTTGAAAAACTTAAGCAAATCCATAACAGAAGGCTATTGCCTTTGTTTGGAAAAAAAAAGCCACCATAAAATATTTCATGTTCACCAATATGGATGAGAACAAAAAATACATGAGAAGAGACTAGACTTCAAATATGAAATAATTAGCATAAAGATGACACAAATATTTATTACACCGCTAAGTCTAAAATACTTAATTGTGATTCATTAGTCATGTCGTGCATTTCCAAAATCCGTTTGATAACAAACTGTAGTCTGTAACGGTGACAAATTGGATTTTGAGGGCTTGTTACAGTTTTTACGTTTAAACAGCTACTAGACTTCAGTATAAACAGAATTGTTATACTGCTTCTTTTTTACTGAATTCTATCAAAAAAATTATATGTATATTTTGTGTTAAATTTTATTTACTCATGTCATATGCATGTGTTTATGAATCAGAATAATTAAAAATAATCAGTTGGTTGTATCTGATGAATAATTCCTTCCCTTTGCAAGAGGGTCCTGATTTATCCGCTCAGGGTTTATACTGCTATAGCAATCAGATGGCTGTATATAATCCATTAATTAACATATGAAGAGTTCAGATGCAAAAACATCTAAAAGCCATTTGAAATGTCCTTCAACTCTAAGCATTTTTATCATGGTCCTGTCTGTAGGTTCAGTAATTTCAAGTTTATGGCAAAAAATACACTCCACTAAAGGTCTTTAAAATAAAATAACTCTACATAAACATAGGTGTCTGAAAAAAGTACTCATTTTCTATAGAAATTTCTGACGGCACAAAGAGGTTTTTGTATCTGAACTCTTTATATATAGTCTGCATGAAGTTTCAAACTGCTTGCAATTCAAATCATGTTGTGTAAAATGTGGTCTGATTAAAAATAACATTGGCAATTACCTACAGCCAATGAGAGATCAGCATCCACTAGTTTAAGTACGTGCAGGCCGGCGGGAGGTTGAGGGAGAAGTTAAAGGCACTCATTTCCAGTTTATTTTGAACCATGAAATGATGGACAAACTAGTGTAAATTTGGCAAGAGCACCTGTTTGACGTGTCATCTGAGCAACTGGGTCAAAAAAGAAAAAGCCAGGGGCCTCATGTGCAAAGACTTGCGTTGAATTAATACGAAAACATTGCGTACGGACAAAGCTGTAAATGTGCGTACGCAGTAAAAAAATCAGATGTATGAAACACTGCATACGCGAAATCCCACGCATATTCTCTTTGTACATCCAAATTAACATGAAACTGAGCGCAAGAGCAAAAAAACCCTCCCAGCCTCCTCCCCCGTATGAATATGGTAATGACTACACTTTAGCAAAACCAAACAAAAAAGCAATGGCAAAAGCAAGTAAGAAAAGAAACTTCACAGAAAGTGAATGGGAGGTGCTCCTTTAGGAGGTAAACCGGAGAAAAATTGTGTTATTTGTAAGTTTGTCCTGTGGAATTAATAACAAAAGAAAACAAATTGGGATAGTTTAGCTGATACAGTTAACGCAGTGGGGTCTGAAAATCGCACTGTGAGTGAATTAAAAAAGAATTGGTCTAATGTAAAGGTGCAGGTTAAGATGAGAACAACGGTGCACCGTCAAAGTGTGGACCGAACAGCCCAAAGAACATGGGATGCTGAACTAACACCTTTTGAGGAGAGAGTTGCCTAAATTGTGGGCGACACTTTACTGTCTGGAGTAGTATCTGTGTCTGTGGGAGACACAGATGTATTAGAGGGACACTTTGTTAGGGCGGTAAAACAGCACTCCTCTGCTCTCAAGGCAGTGCCACCGGCATTTCAGCTGCCTAATTGCCCGCTCTACAACTGATGAGTGCAAGAATGGGCATCATTGTATCTGCACTCTTGGTCAGTTTGTGGGTTGTTGAGGAGTGTTAACAGCTACGACTTTAATGGATAACCGCGGTCTGCTGATATGCAGTTAAATAATTATGCTCAATAAAAATGAAATAAAATAAAAAACTTAGCTGGAGGCGATGCAGTGGCGCAGTAGGTAGTGCTGTTGCCTCACAGCAAGAAGGTCGCTAGTTCAACCCTCGGCTGGGTCAGTTGCTGTTTCTGTGTGGAGTTTGCATGTTCTCCCTGCATTCGCTTGGGTTTTCTCCGGGTGCTCCGTTTTCCCCCACAGTACAAAGACATGCAGTACAGGTGAATTGGGTAGGCTAAATTATCCGTAGTGTATGAGTGTGTGTGTGTGTGTATGGATGTTTCCCAGAGATGGGTTACGACTGGAAGGGCATTTGCTGCATTAAAACATGCTGAATAAGTTGGCGGTTCATCTCGCTGTGACCCCGGATTAATAAAGGGACTAGGCCGAAAAGAAAATGAATGAATGAATGAATGAATTTAGCTGGAATAATATCTTTAAATACATAACTCACCAAGAACTACCCATCGCGCACCCTGCCACCTGGGAGCCTTCGGATTTGACCATTATCAATGTCATCTAAAAAGGCCAACACCGCCATTGCCATAGACTAAGGGTTGCATACATTTGCACATGCATTTATATGTTCTAAATCACATAATTGGTAAGAGTTACCTCAATTAACCTATTTTATCAATTAGAAATTAATAGCAATGTTTTTCACATGTGTTGGTGCGGTACTTTGTAGTGTGCAATTTAACAATTGCCTCTAGGAGTCGCCTATAGAAAATAAAACAAACACAAAAAAAGAAATGCATGTACGCCAGACATGAAGTTGGTACAGCAACGCACATTCTCACATTAATTTCATCGTTAGTAAATCCAAATGTGAGCGTGAAACCTGGCTTACGCAAAGTATTTGTGTATATGCAGCGTTGATTCATGAGGCCCCTGGTGAGCAAAGCCCTGCAAACCCAGGTGAGCAAAATAAGTAGATTTTCTACCCTCCTAAAGGCTTCTTTCTCATTATGTAGCGAATACGAAAAGATATACTGCGTGACCTTGCGTTGTGTCCATGTCACTTCTCGCGTGTGTTTGGTTGTAAGATGTAGTTTTTGGACAGAGACAAAGTTGTCTGCGATTCTTCCTATCATAAAGTCATGCGGTGTGAAACCCCCTGTCGCCAATCCATCTTGCAGTGTTAACACAGCAGTGACTCAACACTAGTGCAGATAGTCATGTATTGTGAAAACACCTGTGACATGACTACTTTGAAAATGTTGCAGTCTGAACTTGGCCTTACTGTATATCAAATGCATGTACATTGTCATTCTAATCATTTCTGTTTTTTTTTTTTAATTACAAAAACCTTTAAAACAGTTAAGAAACTTTAAAATCTTTGAGAGAGAATACTCAGACATTTACATCTACATATGTCACCTTCAATTCACAGTTCAGATCTAGAGTCAGTGTCATTTGTGCATGTACCTGAGCGCTCCTGTAGCAGTTTCTCTGACCGTCAGGCTGTGATCAAGCAATAAAGGTCCAATTTTCCTCACTGCATCTCTTTGGAGGAATCCTGGTAAGGTTTGATTCTCCTGGACAATCCGAGAGATACTGGCACAGGCATACTCGCGCACATCTGCTGAGGGACTCTGCAACTAGAAACAAACAAACAAACAAACAAATAAATAAACACACACACACACACACACACACACACACACACACACACACACACACACACACACACACACACACTATGAGAGTCACATTTAAATTAAGATATATCGGAATACCTCAATAGGGGCTGAGGAAAAACTGGCTGTTTCAAAGCTGAAGAGTCGTCTACAGCTTGCTTAACAGATACACTAGTCAGTTAAGCTGTGAACTGGAAGCTTGCTGACTCGTTTCCTCTATTCAACTTGCTACTATCCATTCATCCCATCATTCAAAGAGCAGACACACTTGCGCATGTGAGGGCATCACATTTTCACTGAAGATTTAATCATGGTGCATGATACTATCACAACATCATATGAAATGGTGAAAACAGGTACAGAAATAGAAAAAAACAACAACTCTGATTTATTGTACAGAGAGTTTTAGAGAAACTCAAAGTTTCAAACTAATTAAATTGCAAAAGGATTACAAAGAGTTCAATATACAATAAAGTTTGTGGTGGTAAATAAAAAAATTACTAACAATATTTAATGTAATGTAATGTATTTTTTTGTCAGCAACTAAGGCTATTTTCATGGGAAGAACATTTCAATAATAAATAAACAGTTAAGAACAACAAACAAATGAATGAATGAATACACAAGTTAAATAAGATTTTAAGTGTGAATACATAAGAATTCAAAATCTTTTCTGGTGTCACTTTGCTAAAATGTCCTTAAGAGAGTTAATTTCATAAAAAAGGCTTCTGATATCATTAAAAGCAGGACAGTCCAGTAAAATGTGTTTTACAGTAAGGGGAGTTGTGCAGAACAAACATTGAGTGGGGTCTTCATCTTTAGGTAAAAAGGCGTGAGTTTATCTTGTATGTCCAATGCGACATATGGTAAAAATCAACAATTAATAAATGACCTAAAATCAGTATTGACTTTGTTATGTAAATGTTAGTTTACAAATATACAGCTGAGCTTAATTCGTTATTAAATTTATTAAATAAAACAGTTGCAAGTTTTGATTTAAATGACTTGCTATATTAACATCATCTAATATGTGTTTTACAAGTTGTTTTCGCAAACTGTAGAGTTTAATTACCTAATGTTATCTAATGCTGACTTGCTGTAAAGTTTTAACAAATACCAGGTCTACCAAGAATCAGAGCATTATCAGTCAACATCTCTGCAAGTTTTTGGGCAGATTAACATGTCAAGATTTTGTTTCATATTAAAGTATCCAATGAAGCACATCAAAACAACAATTATCTGAATATTCTCAAAATGCACTGTAAAATATTGAACGATTAATAGTTTTTTCAAGGCATTTATGAGTGTTCATTATAACAATATCATGTTGTCTTTTCGACTATTATTAGACACGCTCAACACACAAGCCATATTTAGACACAAGTTACACTAATGTTGTTTAATCCACGTAATTCTGACATTCTGTTTTATAAAATAAAGCATTAAATATAAAAGAAATACTGTTGTGACAGTGGTGTCAGCTTACTTTTTCCAGTAGCTCAGCTGCCGGAGAGTCTTCTTCATCTTCTGCTTCTTCAACAGTGTTTTTAACAGCAGTTGCTGCAAGACCGTCGGGAGAAAACTGCGACCGTTTGAATTTAGGATTCTTTGTTTTTCCCATTGTTAACTGTTTTGACTACACTTGACGTGTAATATCAATTATCTTGTATTTTAAACTCGCGTAGACTCACAACACGAGCGACCATGTGGACGTACGTCGCTGCCGTAAAGTGAAATAAACTGTCGCGCGAAAACTGTCGTTGACAGTCGACAGCGCCACCCCGTGGAGCAAGCACGCTTCAGGTTTCATAGAGAAATCATAGAAATCATTGCACTCGACAAGAAGAGATCCTGGATGTCAAACGGTCAGTATCAACCCATGTGTTTCTCTGTCTGAAATACCCACCGAAGAAACCATGAATCTAAATCAAACCGATTTGATCTGTATACAGATAAACTACTCCAGGAGAGCCCATGTCTAATCTCAAACTGTAATTTAGCCAAGAGTGAATTTGTCCACATGGAGCTTCAGATCTGTCTGAACGGTCCCTCTCAGAAAACTTGAATAATGAACAAACCTGAAACTTAAGCATCCAAACCCTAACTGTAGAGAAATGAGTTAATATTACTCTCTACCTAAATGTAGGGGAGAATAGGCCATAAAGTGCTTCCTCAGTTTGTGAGTCATAAATCCATTTATGGTTCAGAGTATTTTACCCCAATTATTTTCAGACCAGCATATGAATATAGCAAGGGACCAGCAAAATAGAATCAAAACCTTTCCAGCATAATAGTTAATAGTATATGTATAGAAGTTTTGGGATTTTAAAAGATCTTAAAATAAGCTTCTCCTGCTTACCAAGGCTGAATTTATTTCATCAAAAATACAGTACACATTTTAAAAATTGTGAAATGTCCTTGTACTATAAGATAACAGTTCAAAAGTAATTTATCATTTAATTTAATAATTTATTCCAGTGATTTCAATGATGAATTTTCAGCTTCATTACTCCAGTTTTCAGTGACATGATCCTTCAGAAATCACTATTTTATTCATTCATTCATTTTCTTGTCGGCTTAGTCCCTTTATTGATCAGGGGTTGCCACAGCGAAATGAACCGCCAACTTATCCAGCACATGTTTTTACACAGCGGATTCCCTTCCAGCTGCAACCCATCTCTGGAAAACACATTTTTATTATTTATTATTATTATTAATATTAATGGTAACAGTAATAATGACTGGAGTAATAAATTCATTTGAAACTACATAAAATAACAAAGCAGTTATTTAAATTTTAATCATTAAATAGAAATTTACATTTACAATTTTTTACAATCGTTTTGCCACAAATTTCAAAATGCTTGGATAAATTAAACACAAGTCAAAGATACTTTGTTCATTGAACCAGGATCACCTGTTTAATATAACACAATTAAACATCAAATTGATCCCATTTCAAAGTCCAAATCAAACATTACATTTAAAATAAATGCATATTAATTTACTTAACATGATGTTATTATCAACTGAGACAGGCACTCAAAATGATAAATAACTGTTGCATTACTCTTGATGCATAGAAACTGATGTATAACATTACATGTTTAGATGATGAAAGTTTCAGGATAGATCAAATGACATCAGTTACCACAGAGGATGACCCAACTGGACTACATTTTCTATAGATTTCACCTTTATTCATCCTTATTCCATATTTATGGTTTCTTTGTTCCGTGTACCACTTTTACAGACAATGTTTTCATATTTGACATTACTACTGTATGTAAGAAAGCTCAATCACAGCAGACCAATGTCAGGCCTGAATTCACATTGACAGAAGGTTCTTTCCAAGATTTGTGACCAACGCAAACACCACTCTGATGTAGAGGAGAACCTGTGACCAAATCCACAAGACCAGACTGATGGAAACACAGATCCCAAAATCTGATATGTAGAAATACATGCAAATTACATATGTGGCATAATAGTTAGTTTGAATTTTACATATAAAAATGTCATACATGTCAAAATATTGCCATTTCTTCAACTATTAGAATTACAAATATGTTTATATAAGTTACGTAATCTATTATGTTATATATTTTACCCCTAAAAATATACCTATAATTTGTATAGGTGTCCATATAGCTGTATATGGATGTGGAATCCAATTGTAATTTGCATATGTTGCCATATTTCATGCCATATATCAGCTTTCTATATGGGGACGTGCAGTGAGAAAAACATTACAGTAAACCCACATTATGATGGAATGAATAAAACTAGTTCAGTGTGTCCACTGTCTGTACTGTTCCCTCTACACTTTGCATAAACCATAATGAAAGCTTTATTTTAAACAACAAAATGTAATGATTGTTTATTGAAACGGTGCGCATCTTGTGTGCTGGTAATCTAAAGTTGTGCTCCTGCATTATTTGTATGATAACAGGATTATGTGAACCAATGATCGTGCAAATGCAAGACTTCCTTAATGAAATGAACGCAGAGTTTTGAAAACTGGAGAGTCTGTGTGAAAAGTAGTGACTGTTTAGAGTTTTGTGTCTAGAGTTTGAAATTTGTAGCAAAACAATTGAAAAAAAAACTGTAATAAATGCCACCTTGATGAACAGAATAATTTTCTTTAATAAAAAAACTGACAAAAAATGGCATTCATTAGAGGAGATCAGAAAAAACATAGTTGTAATAATAGCAAGGCGCATCGTAGCATTTGTGTTAATGTTTCCCATCTACACTGGAATTTCAAACTTTTAAATTTGTCTAGTTTTAGCCTGAATTAAAAAAAAAATGCCAGTTTCTTTCTCTGTTAAGTGTTGATGTGGCAGCTAGTAAATACAGTTTTGTTATGTTAATATTAATTTTGATATGTCAGCATGTGACAAAACATTTAATCGTATGTTACAATAAATGTTTTTAAAAGAAGACTTATGAAAGGATGCATTAATTTGATAAAAATTTGGTAAAATAGTATTTCAATAAAAAATTACTTATAACTGTGATACAAGCTAAATTTTCAGCATCATTACTCCAGTCTTGAGTATTACACAATCCTTCAGAAATCCTTCCATGCTGCTTTGATGTCCATTAAAATATTCTCATTAAGTGATAAAAACAGTTCAGTCAAAAACAGTCATTATTTTTGTGGAAACCACATCCATTTCTTCATGGTTTAAAACAAAATCTAAATAAAAGCACTTATTTTTAAAAAATATACTGTGTTGAATGCATGCATGCTGGCAAAAAGTAGTCTTAAAATAAATAAACCAATACAAAATAACCTCAAACTCCAATTTTTAAAACATACTGCAAAAATACATAATAAATAAATAATATGAGACAGTAAATAAAGTACATCTGCTACAAGCATTACAAAAAGTCTCTTATTTTTGAACTACTTTATTTTATTTCCACTTTATTTCTTTGTTCTTTCTTACTCAACAGAGTTTTGGCTTTAGCGCATGTTTGACCTCTCCTAACCCTGTGCAGTGTGTCGAATGAGAGCTAGAGACCCTGGGTCTTCCTTTCCAAATCCCCTACTGCAAGTCAGCGTGTGGCAACCCTCCTCAACAACTGTCCTGAGAGGACCCATAATTCATCTCAAATCAGCATGTTTCAAAATCACATACAGCCAGCAGATCAGAGACGATTTCAACATTATGGATCTGAAACACTAAGTAAAAAAAACTCAACACACACACACACACATTTCTCTCTCTCTCTCTCTCTCTCTCTGTCAGCGATACATTGAATGAAGTGAATAATTAGGGTGTATAAAGGTTGATTCCTGTTCCAGCAGGTTTCCTCTAGTACTGTGGCGGCTGCTGTCGCTCCTTGTATCATTTCACTGATAAGGGCTCCATATCTACAAAGAGCCAAAGAACTCATAAACTCCTTTATCTACCTCACATGCACAACCTAAAGTTTTATATGTGCTAAAATGATTCTGCTTAGAACAAATCTAATGGCTCTATTAAACACCACATACACACACTGCAAGACCTCTTAATCCCCTCAAAGAATATACGGTACCAGTCAAAAATTTAGGCTCAGTAGGATTTTGAAATGTATTAAAATAAGCTTCTCCTGCTCACCAAGGCTGCATTTATTTGATCAAAAATACAGTACACATTATAAAACTGAAATTATGTTGCAGCATAAAATAACTGTTCAAAAGTAGTTTATAATTTAATTTAATCATTTATTCCAGTGATTTTAATGATGAATTTCCAGCTTCATTACTCCAGTCTCCAGTCACATGATCTTTCAGAAATCACTCTAATGTTAATTATTATTATTATTATTATTATTATTATTAATAGAAATAGTAATTAAAAAAATAATGACTGGAATAATAATTTCTTTTAAAGCTACATACAATAAGTAATAAATAAATATTTAATAAATATGTTTTTAACAATTTAACCATTTTTTACATTTAATAAATGCCACCTTGATGAACAGAATACTTTAATTTTAATTATTAAATAAAATTAATAATTAATAAAAAGAAAAAAGTGAACCCATACATTTGACCGGTAGTACAGTTGAAGTCAGAATTATTAGCCCCTGTGAATCTAGTTTTCTTTTTTAAATATTTCCCAAATGATGTTTAACAGTGCAAGGACATTTTCACAGTATTTCTGATATTTTTTTTCTTCTTGAGTAAGTCTTATTTGTTTTATTTCGGCTAGAATAAAAAAGTTTAACATTTTTTAAAATCCATTTTAAGGTCAAAATTATTAGCCTCTCTAAGCTAATTTTTTTCGATAGTCTACAGAACAAACCATCGTTATACAATAACTTACCTAATTACTCTAACCTGCCTAGTTAATGTAATTAGCTAAGCCTTTAAATGTCACTTTAAGCTGTATAGAAGTGTCTTGAAAAATATCTAGTCAAATATTGTTTACTGTCTTCATGGCAAACATAAAATTAGAAAAATGGGGGGGTAAACAGAGGCTAATAATTCTGACTTCTACTGTATTTGGCTATGGAGAAAAATAAGAGACCGTGGTGGATTAATCAAGTATGGGTTTAGATAACACTTTAATAGTTGTTTTATTCTACAAAGGGTCTCATCACATTTCTCCAAATTACAGAAAAACTAATTAAATATAAGAGTTATTCCATTCAATATTATTTGACACTTCTGAAGTTAAAACATTGGTACTGTGC